TTAAAATTCACACCAGGAGTGTGTGTGCACGTGTGCCCAAGATCCCGAGAGGAGAATGGAGGGGAGGGACTGTGGCATGGCCATCCCCCTGAGGGGGATTTCTCGCTTTCTGTCTCTCTGCCTCTCCAATGAGCACACGTGTCCTATAGCAAAAACTTCCCAAGTAAATAAATACTCCAATACTATTTCAAAATAAGGAATTCAAACGAAAACAAAAAGCACTTTATATTTACATTCAATTAGAACAGATATAAAGTGAAAAAGAGAAGCAAGGGAGGGTAATGAAGGAGGCTGAAAAACTAGAAGCCAAACATTCAAACGCGACTTCAGGCCACGTGCCAGTGATGCAGCACCTCTGACGGGAGCCACAGGGAGGTCCTGGTTTGAATCTTGGGCTGACGTTACTATGCCAGGTGTGCATGTTGAGATCCTGACTGGCCGGGATCCCGGGCTGGAGAGATCATCGTGGTGGGGCAAGACCCTGTCAACAGTACCTGTTTCTCTCCCTCGCTCATAGGGAAAAAAAAATTAAACAAAATTTTAATAAACAACGGTACTTTGGACCAGCAGGTGGCATGAAGGTTAAGGCACTGGATTCCTCATGGCCGGCTGCGCCGTTCGGGTCCAGGACCCATCTCGCCAGGTGCATGTACGTGCAGGTGCACTCTCCTCCCCAAGAGGAGAATGGAGGAGAAGCGATTGTGGTGTGGCCAATCCCTATAGGGGTGATTTCTTGCTCTCTCTCTCTCTCTCTCTCTCTCTCTCTGGTGAACATGGGCATCCCACAGCAAAAACTAAAACACAAGAAGAAACAACAGTACTTCGAAGTCAGCCAAGTGTCTGAAGCCGCCAGCTGCCACTCTGCGGCATCATGACTTAGGAAGCTGTAGACAGTAAGTACATTTAAAGCATAAGAAAAACTGTAATAAAGCTGCTTCTCTGGTTGTTTTTCAAAAATATCTTTGTAAATCTGAAGAAGGAAAAAAAAACTACTGGCAGGAGTTAATATCTCGCTATTGCACAGTTTATATTTCCTCCTGAGGAGACAAGTAAGTCCAGATAATGAAGGAAATGCTTAGAGAACGTGACGCACATGCTTATCCCACATGCATTATTCAAGTCCATTAGTCCAATAAGGAGCGGCTTCTCTTCCAATGCACCTTCAGAGACGCCTGGAGAGATGCCCAGATTACAAACATGCATGTCCTTAGCATTGAAAACCGCTCCTTCCAAAGAAAAAATGAGAGAGACTAAGAGCACACAGCACGACGGACACGAAAGCAGAGAATGCAGCCACCGCTTGAATTTCCGCGCCAGACAAGCAAGCGCTGGGATGCTTTCTGTCCATGGGTTGGGCACAGCTACACGCCCTGAGGACACGCCTACACTGTCGATAGGGTACACCGAGGCCCAGACGCAAAACGTGTCTAGAAAGTCGGGAACCAGCAGTTAGCGTAATGGCTATGTCGCTGGACTCCCACGTAGTCGACCACGGTTTGCGTCCCGGACCCGGTGGCTTAAACTCATGCCGGGCACGTGTGCGTGTGTGCCCAAGATCCCAAGAGGAGAATGGAGGAGGAGGGATTGCAGCATGGTCATCCCCCCGGGGGGTGATTTCTCACCTTCTATCTCTAGTGTCTCTGTCTGTCTGGCGAGCGCACGTGCCCTATAGCGAAAATCTCTCTCAAAAAAAAAAAAAAAA